AGTGAGATATGTACACCTGATCCTCAGCTAGTGGAGCAGCTCCTTGGAAGAGTTAGCTGACCTTCACGTTACCTATTTTGTAAAGCAACACTGCTGAAATATATCTCGTATGAATTATCTGCATTAATAGATTTGCTTTCAATTTATTTAAGTAACTATGTGGTAGCTCATTGCGTTAATTTGCTGGGGTAGTATCTCTGTATAAATGCAATTACAACTTAGTATTTTTATTGCTACAATATATGAATTGAGTTTCATGTAATTGCAGAAGATGATGAGCAAGGAAGAATGTGTGTAGTTTACCCTGGGCAGCTTGATTTGGGAGTTCAGAGAGAGTTGCAGCTTATATTATTTTATGATATATCCTAATATTTGAGGAGTTAATGGTATACTTCTATGAGCTCCTTACAAAATCTGGTCTTAGTGGCAGAAGAGGTCTCCTTAGTTTTTAACTCGGATATGTGGATCTGTTATTTAGCTACATTGTGTAGCTAAATCCATTGGGTACATTCTGTGTAGAAACATTAGCCAAAACAAGCAAAGATCATTCTTTAAGTATATCTCCACTTCCTGTTTGTTTCACCTCTCTCCTGCCTAGGTGGTTCCATGGTTCTTTCTGGCATCAGCTGTTTTTTCCTGTGGTTTGGGACCAGTGAATCTATGATGATAGGTATGCTGTGCCTCTACAATGGCCTCACCATATCAGCATGGAACTCTCTAGATGTCATTACTGTGGAGCTGTATCCTACAGACAGAAGGTATGCACAGACAAACCTTCCCTAAGCTCACTGACACTACCTCTATGTACCAGCAAAAATGGTAAATAGAAAAGGTTACGTATGAGCTTTACACAGGTAAAGAAGTTTTGAGTGAGGTGAATTAATAATTCACCTTATTAATAGCAAGGGGAAAAAATAGATTTTTTGTAGCTATTTGGTATGTATTTCATGTCAAATAACACCTAATGAGGAAAATACCACAAATGTAGTTTCATATGAAAAGGGAAGGTCCAACTGCTACTCTCATTTATAACAGAGCTAATGAGTATTATTTCTGAAAACAGTAGTGGCATATTTCTGGGTTTCCTCTAGTGCAACTGCCTATGAAGGCAGTAGCTGGTCTAAAACAGCAATAGATCTGCATTTGTCTGTTGGCTGTTAAGTGGTGGGGATGATAAAAAAAATCACGGCGTGGAGTTGAATAGCATCTTCTGGAAGAGATTATAGGCTTGAACCATGCTGAGCTGTTAATCAGTCTGCTACGAATTTGTATGCAGGGTCACTAGGAGTGTACATACTCAGCGTTAAGTGCAGACAGAAATGGCTCAGGCACTGCTCCTGACTCTTCAGGCACTGCTCCTGCTCTTGCAGGAAAGCTCGGGACAATTTTTGAGTCCTGCAGGCATTACTGCTAGATGACATGGGACTTCTTTTTTTCAGATCTAGTGCACATTTTTGTACATTTTATGTCACTGAATGGACCAAAGCAAAACCAGTTGATTTGTGTGATGTTTCATGTTGAGTGTAAAAATTTAAAAGCTGCATTTTCTTGAATAGACAGGGAAATTTCTCTCTCCTTTCCTCATTAAACAAATTTTATATAAAGTTGCCCGAATTCCTGCCAAGGGACATTATGGCCTTTCTCCTGTCACAGTGCTATTCAATATGTCATTCACAAGAAGTTTCAAATATGGTGAAAGAAAAATATTCCCATTTGATATTTGTGTAATGCCTTGGTGGCAAGTCTAAGTTTTTGGACAGAAGCGCAACTGGCTTTAGTATTGTCCATCAGGAGAGGAAAACTGTAGATTGGCATTCC